GCTCCTGCAGGAGCACCAGCTTCTAGATGGGGAGAGTTTCTCCTTGGTTTTCCTCCTAACCCACACAACAACGACATCAGGGGCAAATCCATCCCCACTTTTGCTCCTGCTTGTCCCAGCTCAGATAGGCAGAGCTGCCTTCCTGCCACAGAAGGTTTTTCGGGCTTTTTCAACAGATTCCCTCCTTCTCAAGGGTGTTGTGGCTGTTGGGTTGCGGTTCCACCCTTGCAGTGGGCAGGGGATAGTGGCAAGATGGTGTATATTGCAATATTGATTACTATTGCTCCGAAAAGCGATGGATATCACCCAAAAGGGCTGTGGGAAGCACACAAACCTCCACTGCCACTCACAGAGCCCGAGCACGGAGGATGCGGTGGAGGGTTTTGCAAGATGGACTTGCCGGTGCTCAGGTCCAGCCAGAGCCTAAATTACTCCTGCTCTAAAAATACCGCATAATTAATTAACCTAGCCGAGCGCAAATCATGCCGGTGACGCGATGATGAACTTTTTTTTGTTGCTTTTGACTCCGGCAGGAAAGAAGATTGGGGGGGCTTTTTGGCGGCTCCCTCCCGAACAGCCTGTCCGCTCCAATCTGCCGGAGGACGTTGGATGATGCCCGGGGCCCAGCTGTCAGCGCCGGCGGCCGTTTCAGGGGCTGTATCATTATCAAATTTACTAAATTACACCGGCCCAGCCTCTTCATCTCTGGCGATCCATTTTCTTTTGTTAAGGTTGCTAAGGAACCGCCCGCCGACATCGGATGCCGCGACGAGGCGAGTTTCTCCTCCTCTTTGCGCCTCCTTGCACGACTTCTCTGGCTGGATGCAGGAGAAACCCCCTCCTGCAGAGGGGCTGGGCATGCTCAAGCTATAGGTGCACGTATATCCATGGATATACACACCCATGGGTACGTATCCATAGATACACACCCATGGGCTCAGCTCTGGAGCCGCGAGATCCATAAAAAACGAGTGATGGGTGTCACTCGTGCTCCAAAATTGCCCTCCACTTTGCCAACTCTGGAAGGATTTGGGAATCTGGTTTTACAGCATTAACCCCCCTCCCCTCCCTAGGTTTTCACATGGTGACCTCTCATGGCGATGCTCTTTGCTTTCTAAGGCCGTTCTCCAACGTGTGTTCAGGAATCTTCTGGCTTTCGCCCTGTTTGGAGCGGCTCCAGCTCCCCGCACCTGGAAAGCAGTTGGCTCGCCAAGTAAATTGTTCAGCCCGAAAAGTAACCCCCCC